TAAATTTTGTGAGTGGTGTAAAATAGGGACTCAATGTCTTTCTTTTGCGTGTGAATATCTAGTTTCCCCGACACTATTTATTGAATAAGCTATCCTTTTCCCAATGACTATTCTTGGATCGCTTTTCAAATATTAGTGGACCATATATATTTGGGTTTATTTCTGGGCTTTGGATTCTGTCCCATTGGTCTATGTATCTGTTTTTATTCCTGTACCCTTTTGATTACTATAGCTTTGTACTACAGTTTGTAATCAGGAAGTGTGATGCCTCAACCTTTGTTCATTCTTAAGATTGTTTTGGCTTTTGTAGTTCCATATGAATTCTAGGATTGTTTGCTTTGTTTCTGTAAACAATGCCATTTAGCAGGGATTGTGCTGAATCTGTAGATCTCTTTGGGTAGTATGGACATTTTAACAATATTAATTTTTCCAATCCAAGAACATGGAATATTTTTTATTTATTAGTGTCTTCTTCAATTTCTTTCATCAATGTGTTAGAGTTTTCATTGTACAAGCCTTTTACCTCCTTGGTTAAATTTATTCATACATATTTTATTTTGTTAATGCTATTATAAAAGGGAATTTTAAAATATTTTATTTTAAGATAATTGTTAGTGTATAGAAATGCAACTGATTTTTGTATGTTGACTTTGTATCCTGCAACTTTGCTAAATTCTTGTTTAGTTTTAAGTTTTTTTGTGAGGTCTTTAGAATTTTCTCTACATAAGATCATATCATCTGCAAACCAAGACAATTTTCATTATATTTAATATTTTTTCCCTCTACCTTCTGGAGTAATTCTTCCTATTAATACATTTATTATATAAGCATGAGAAGTATACATGCAATCCAGATATTGGCTATCTTTGAACTCAAAAAGGCTGACACTTTTATGAACCATTACCAACCGTAGTGAAAATTTCAGTTCTTTTATTAGAAGAACTAGAGGCCCCGTGCATGAAATTCATGCACTGGGCGGCGATGGGGGGGGGCGGGGTCCCTCAGCCCAGCCTGCGCCCTCTCGCAGTCTAGAAGCCCTCTGGGGATGTCCGACTGACAGCTTAGGCAGTCCATCCTTAGTGCTGCCTCAGAGGCGGGAGGCTCCCGCCACCACCACTGCACTCACCAGCCATGAGCCCTGCTTCTGGTTGAGGGGCACTCCCCCTGTGGGAACACACTGACCACCAGGGGACAGCTCCTGTGTTGAGTGTCTGCCTTCTGGTGGTCAGTGCGTGTCATAGCAACCGGTCGTTCCAGCGTTCGGTAGATTTGCATATTAGCCTTTTATTATATAGGAGTACCAGTATACCTGTGTCTTCTTCCAATTCTTTTCAGCTACCAGGTCCCTTCTTTCTTATAATCTGCCCCAGTCATCATCCAGCCCACTTCTCTTCTGCCCCTTCCTCCTTTATAATACAGAATAGCCCTCCCTGCCCCCCAGTTCATGGTTACTCCTCTCTGTTGTACTTTACACACTTGCTTCAAAGAAAACTCCAGCCTGAATTACACTTCTACTATACCAGTGGTCGGCAAACTCATTAGTCAACAGAGCCAAATATCAACAGTACAACGATTGAAATTTCTTTTGAGAGCCAAATTTTTAAAACTTAAACTATATAGGTAGGTACATTGTTATTAACTTAATTAGGGTACTCCTAAGGCTTAGGAAGAGCCACACTGAAGGGGCCAAAGAGCCACATGTGGCTCACGAACTGCAGTTTGCCGACCACAGTACTATACCAAAGCATGAACTAACAAAACCAGTCTCTCCCTGTAGAGCAGTGGTTCTTAAACTGGGAGTGATTTTTGCCCTCCAACCCCGACATGTCTGAACACATATTTGTTTGTCACATTTATAGAAGTGCTACCAGCATCTAATGAGTGGAGGCCTGGGATTATGCTACACATCCCTCAATGCACAAGACAATTTTCCATAACAAAAAATTATCTGGCCCAAATTGATAATAGTTTATCAACTTCTGTTAAGAAACCCTGGTAAAAAGAAATTCTTGTATTAGCTGCAGTAGACAATGATATTTTTTACTTTGTTACTATCAATGTTTTCTTACTTCTCTGCATTGAATTATAAGTTTTGTATACTCATACACTCCAGTCAATAAACAATTGTTGAACATCAGTTTGTGTCAGGCACTGAACCAGGCACTCCTAAGTCGCTCATGGTTCAAGGAGGAAGACAGATGATCTTATACCTTGTGAAAGGGCTATAACTGCGTAAAGAAGAGATACCTAATCTAGCCCACGATGATCTGTAAGATTTCTTTGAAGCATTCTGAGAAGAGGCCCGAGTTGAACATGGAAGAATACACAGGAGAAAGCCAGATAAAGAAAGGAAAGAAGCACATTTCCTACAAAGGGAAAAACATGTGTCAAGGTACATGGTTAGAGGAGCGGACTGCTGGCAACCATCAGCTAGTCCTGACAGGCACCGTGAGCCATGAATGAGGAGTACATTTTTGGGGGATGTGTTGCTAGCATGGTAAGATTTACATTTTAGAAAGGTCATATGATTTCTGAAATCAAGGTGAGAGCTAATGAGGGCCTTAACTAAGGCAGTTGAAATAGGGATGGGGAAGAAGGGCCAATTGGAGAGATATTTAGGAGATAAAAGTGGACAGAACTAGAAATAGGTGGATATGGGAATGAGAGATGAGGAAGTCCAGCATGACCCCCCAATTTCAGGTGTGGTACCATTTACTAAATCAGGGAAGAGGGTGAAGTTGGTAGGACAAGATAGAAATCAAATTTGGACATATCTTTGTGTCATACAAAAATGTTTTCATTTATAAAAGCAATATACATGTCTTTTGCAAACAAAATAAAACAAAACAACCCTCCTCCAAAACAACAACAACAAAAAAACCCACTTGTTAGAGAAATACAAAATCTCCATTTGGAAATAGCCAGTACAAAATTTGGGTGAAGTTTTCCCCCCAAGTTGTTCTATGTAGAAAATTATGCATTTTAAAAATACAATCATAAATTAGGGTGCTTTATACACTTTTTTTTCAATATATTTGAAACATCTCCTGATGTCATTAAATATTGTTTTATTATTTATTTATCTATTTATTATTATTTTTTAATCCTCACCAGAGGACACTTTTTCCCACTGATTTTTAGAGAGAGTAGAAGGGAGGGGGGGAGAGGGCAAAAAGAGAGAGAGAGAGGAGAGAGAGAGAGAGAGAGAAATATCGATTGGTTGCCTCCCATATTTGCCCCAAGCTAGTTGGGATTGAACCTGCAACCCAGGTACCTACCCTTGAATGGGAATGGAACCAGTGATCCTTCAGTGCTCTTACCACTGAGCAACACTGGCCAGGGCTATTGTTTTATATTTTTAATGACTGCACAGTTTTTTTACTTTATGGAAAAAACCATAACTTACTCCACCATCCCTATTGTTAGAGGTTTAGATTGCTTTGGGATTCTTATTTGTAATAAATCCTGCTTGATGCCATCACTGATGAGTCCTCCAGAGAAAGCATATGGTATTTGAAGTGTTAGGTATTTATTAAGGCTCAACCCCAGTGGACCGGAGAGGGAGGAAGCAGAAATGGGCCAGGAAGTTGAACTGTGACACAGGCCTATAGCCTTCACAGAAGCCATCTCTATGGAGAGGGCCCATCACAGTTGTCCTGCTTCGGGTGGGAATGTCTTTTATGTCACTCAGTCACCGCATGGGGGCTGCTCTGGGGCTGTGAGGCTGGGCTCTGCAGCTGAGGCAGACCTCACAGGTGCTGACAGATGGAGGCTGTCTGCTGACCACGCTCCTCCTATAAAGGGAGGTTTAGCTATTGCATCTCAATGCCCAAACCACAGATGTTCATTCTGTACATATATCTTTGTTCATAGCCTTAGGATAAATTCCCAGAAGTGAAATTGCTGCGATAGAGCATGGGCTTTTAAAACCTTTTTTAATTTATTTTATTTTATTTTATTGTTTTATTGCTTAAAGTATTACAAAGAGTATTACATATGTCTCCTTTTTTCCCCACCCTTGACAATCCCCTGGCCTCCCCTACCCCCCAGTGTCTTATGTCCATTGGTTATGCTTATATGCATGCATACAAGTCCTTCGGTTGATCTCTTACTCCCCTCCCTCCTGCTCCCCAACCCTCCCTGGCCTTCCCGCTGCCGTTTGACAATCTGTTTGAGGCAGCTCTGCCTCTGTATCTATTATTGTTCAAAAGTTTATAATGGTCTTTATTATCCATGAATGAGTGAGATCATGTGGTATTTTTCCTTCATTGACTGGTTTATTTCACTTAGCATAATGCTTTCCAGTTCCATCCATGCCGTTGCAAATGGTAAGAGTTCCTTCTTTTTAACAGCAGCATAGTATTCCATTGTGTAGATGTACCAGTTTTCTAATCCATTCATCTACTGATGGGCACTTAGGCTGTTTCCAGATCTTAGCTATGGTGAATTGTGCTGCTATGAACATATGGGTGCATATATTAAAACCTTTTTTTTTCTTAAATATATTTTTATTGATTTCAGAGAGGAAGGGAGAGGTAGAGAGAGATAGAAACATCAATGGTGAGAGAGAATCATTGATTGGCTGCCTCCTGCATGACCCCCATGGGCGATTTAAAAAACTTTTAATATGTATTGCCAAATTACCTTAGAGAAAGATTGTAATGCCCAGCCGGCGTGGCATGGTTCAGTGGTTGAGTGTTGACCCATGAACCCAGGAGGTTCCATTCCTAGTCAGGGCACATGCCCGGGTTGCTGGCTTGACTCCTAGTAGGGGCCATGCAGGAGGCAGCTGATCAATGATTCTGTCTCATCACTGATGTTTCTATCCATCTCTCCCTCTCCTTTCTTCTCTCTGAAATATATATATATATTTAAAGATTGTACCACTTTCTCCCAACAGCTCATTTCATCACTGACGGATAAGAACATGACAACTGTACTGTTTTTAAATGTTGAAAAATACCTTAAATTTCTTTGGAAAATAAACGATATTCTTCACGTTTCATTATTGTGAATTTTATTTTAAACTTCCAAGGCAGGTTACCTTTCTCTATAGGTCTCTATATATAAGTTTCCAGAAGGATAAAACACTCTAATGATTGATGTTAGGAGGCAAAGAATTGGATTTGGATCTTCGGAGTTGCAAGCTTTCAAACCAGAGAGAGAAATGGCTCGTGTCTGAGCTGACTTGAAACAGAATCTGCAGTACCTTGCAGCTCTTTCCATGTGAGTATCTGAGAAAACAAAAGAAATTCCCATTTATTAGGAAAAATCCATATTTGACACATTACTATGAGAGAGAGAGAGAGAGAGAGAGAGAGAGAGAGAGAGAGAGAGACAGAGACAGACACTAATGGGAAATAACCATCATTTCTTGAGAGTTTATTTCATAGCAGCAATTCCCTGAGCTTTTACATATACCGTGATATTTAATTCTCACAAGAACCCTTTGAAGTAGATATTATTTCCCACATTTTTCAGATGAGGAAACTAAAGCTCAGAGAGTTGGTAACTTGGTAACCTGAGTCAGTCAGACTCCCAAGCCCGTGCACTTCCTATGGTTCTGGGTTGCTGTCCCCAAAGCTATCAATCAAGTCACAGAGCAGCAGCTTTAAACAGTATAATATACCTGTATAGTGGCTGTCATAACAATGCTTATGAAGATTGAGGAATGTCTGTCTTTCTACTAGACTGGAAGTACATGAAGTTCAGTGTCTAAATTTTTTAAAAAAATTTTATATCACTTATGACATCTAGCCCTTTACATATATAAAGTGGTCACTAAATATTTAACAGAATAGATGTTGAATAGCCAGAATGAGAAAAATATTTTCTGTTATCCTTTCATTCTCATTTTTGGTTTGGTCTGGTCACAGTATAGCCAGGAGGCAAAGAGATGGCCCAGCCAATGGCCTCCCACTTTAGCAAGAACAATTCTCAGCTCTTCTAAAAAAAAAATCCATTGATTACAGAGTGCCAATGAAAAAATGGTTGAACAAAATAAACAAAAATAAACCTACAAATAAAAATCATCCTCAGGAAGTCACTTCAAAAATAAACCTACAAATAAAAGCCATCCTCAAGAAGTCACCCCAAAAATAAACCTACAAATAAAAATCATTCTCAAGAAGTCACCCCAGCCCTAACTGGTTTGGCTCAGTGGATAGAGCGTCAGCCTGCGGACTCAAGGGTCCCAGGTTCGATTCCGGTCAAGGGCATGTACCTTGATTGCGGGCACATCCCCAGTAGGGAGTGTGCAGGAGGCAGCTGATCGATGTTTCTCTCTCATCGATGTTTCTAACTCTCTATCCTGCCGGAAGCCGGTCCATCCTTGCTGCTTGACACAGTCGCTGCAGGAAAGAAACATCTGCACAGCATATGTTTCAAGGGACCTGGCATATATAGCATATTGTTCTTAATATGTTTGCTCTCCTTAGTGCCATGTGTTTTAACCAAGGTCACCTCTCTGAGAAAGGTTGTTTCCCCAGGTGGGGATTTTTCCCTGAGGTTAGGGAGGGGATACAACCCCTTAATTAAGTGCCAGGCGGGTAGTTAAGCTACATAATCTTTACTCCCTGGAATGGAGATAAGAAACGCCCTAACCTTTGTAATAGAAATTGACAGGATTAAAATCGGCTGGTATAAATATAGATGTAACAAGACAATAAACATCAGATCCTGATCAGATCTTAACCAGAGCTTGGCTGGAGTTCCTAGACAGAACTTTGGCTGGAGATCCTGGCTAGAGGTCCTGACTAGGCTGCTGATCAACTGAAGGCTGTCTTCGTGTCATTCCTTCTTCGCCGACTCCGTCCACACCTTTGTGGACCCCTGGACCCGCTCCCTTCCTCTCTGTAAAAAATCAATGAAATATATTAAAAAAAATAAAATTAACCCAGAATTTATGTAACTTATTAAAAAAAGTCACCCCAAACAGGAACAATGTGAGTGAAATCTTTATTCAGAAGAGTAAATAGGTTGTAATCCAGCCTTTAGAGCAGTGGTTCTCAACCTTCCTAATGCTGCGACCCTTTAATACAGTTCCTCATGTTGTGGTGACCCCCAATTTCATTGTTACAAATTGAACATAATTAAAGCATAGTGATCAATCACAAAACAATATGTAATTATATATGTGTTTTCCGATGGTCTTAGGTGACCCCTGTGAAAGGGTCGTTCGACCCCCAAAGGGGTCGCGACCCACAGGTTGAGAACCGCTGCTTCAGAGCTAACTTCCAGGTAACAGGAAATATAGAGGAAATAGAATTATGTTGAAGACACCACAAAGACACCATAACATAAATCCAGAAGGCTACCCCTGTTTCTTTTATAAGGCAACATCATTCTAAAAATAGATGGTAGGGAGATGGGGGAGGCTAGTCTGGGTTAAAAAAAGATGTAACCAAATGCAATGTGTGGTCATTGTTTGGAGCCTGGTCTGACTTAGTCAGCTGTTAAAGACATAGTGGGATCAGCAGGGGGAATTTGAGTCTGGATTGGCTATAAATTGTAAAACCGAGGGTCCGTATGAGTTTGATTAACTTTAAATCCTAACGCTAGAAATCATCTCTCTGTCTCCCTTTCTCTTTCCTCTCCTTTCCCTTCTTCAGAGACCTAGCCTTCCCCCAGATAATCAGTGACCCTCCAGGCAGCAGAAGACAGCAGCTGGGACACGACCAAAGGTCAAAAGGTCTGGACCTCTGCCAGGCTTAGGTTTCACTTCCTAAGCTGGAACGACCACCCTGCCTACTTTCCCATGAGACCTGACAGGGACACTGGAAACAGACCTCAGAGCTGTCCTCCAGTCCTGAAGAAATAATTCATTACCTTTACCTCACCTCACACCAATCAGCTCCCCACTCAATGGAACCCCCACAACCCATGGTGTGTTGTGGTTTTGCCCGATATAATCTGTAACCTACACTCCATCGGGCTTTTGAGCATTAGCTTCCCTTTCTCTTGAAGGCGCCATTCATAACAAAATAGCCAACAGTGCCTGGCTGGTGTGGCTCAGTGGTTGAGCATAGACCCATGAACCAAGAGGTTGCTGGTTTGATTTCAATCAGGGTACATGCCCCAGTTTTGGGCTCCATCCCCAGTAGGGGGCTGGCAGGAAGCAGCTGATCCATGTTTCTACCTCTCTCTCCCTTCCTCTCTCTCTAAAAATCAATAAAAGCATATTTTTTAAAAAGCTAACATTTCTCCACTTCAATTCTTAGTGTCTAGTGTTTGGGTCAGCTAGTGCAGGTGGACACTTTCTGTTCTATAACAATTGATACTAGGTGATTATTTTTAGCTTTAGTTAATTGTGAAAATGGTAATATGGTTATGTAGAAAGTGTTCTTTTAAAATTGAGATGTATATTGTAATATTGAGGAGTGAAATATCACAATATCTTTACTTTAAAACTTCAGCATAAAAGGTGATGAATAAGGCAAAGTGTAAACAATTGTTAAATATTTGATGTCGTTTTTTCATCATAAAGAGTAAACAATCAAGCAGGAGAAAGAAAAAAGGGTTAAAAGAGGAA